TTACTGACAAAGGAAAAGCTTTGATACTGTGACCCATATATTTTGAAGGAAAAACATGTATTACTTCGTACCTGTCTCGTTCAGCTATCGTGTTAGTACTGGTTTTATAAAGGTGTCGTATAGTCGAGTGGTTATGAGCACTTGACGGGAAAATTAGAGGGTCTTAGGTTCGAGCCCCGACGTGGCATTAATGTCCTTTGGCAGGACATTAATATACATTTTCTGCTCTCCACCCAGGTGTTAAATGGGTTCCGTTAGGAAGTAATTCCTAGAATGCTGTAAGCACCGAAATCGGTAGCCTAGCTAGAGCCAGTGTAGTATTTAAGCGCCCTGAGCATCATGTGTGGTGGATATGTTCGCTATAAAAAATAATTGTAATTTATCTAAAAGCAACTGCATGCAGGCCCATGGAAAGCTAACCGGTTCTTACTTAAGGGAAAACCGGTATGAACTTGGTTTTGAACCCGGGACCTCCCGGTCATGTGACCACTGCTCAACCGGTGAGCATCACGCTGCCCGAAAATGGAGAAAATTGATCGGATTAAAAAACTGATAGGCTCGAGGTAGGAAGTCTAGTAATTCTTACTTTGTGATATTATTCGATTTTTAATTAAAAAGTGCACAGTCAGTCCAACTCCTAGAATGGGGGGGGGGGGGGGGGAGGGTTGTAGGGGTTGGTCGATGTTTTGTTACTAATGGGGCAAGTGCGGGGGCATGTGCTCCCCCTCCCCATCGAATGATCAGAAAGAGAGAATGATCAGGAGAGAGAGAGAGATAGTAAGAGAGAGCGAGCGCGAGAGAGAGAAAAGGAGAGTGAGAGAGAGAGAGTAAGAGAGGAGAGAGAAAGAGAGAGACAGAGAGAGACAGAGATAGACAGACAGACATACAGACAGACAGAGAAAATTTAAAAGAGAAAAATCCCTGTAAAGACTGTAAATCATATGGTTCGCGGTTCGAGCCCCGCTGTCCACCCTGATATTTCGTTCACGCTCAAAGAAATTTTAAACCAAACAAAAAAGGTCGTTTCTGCAGCAGAAGTCGTCAGCCCTCTACATGAAATTACTCGTAGTCTGAAGCTATTTATACGTCCCTGGATTAAACATTACTCGCTCAGCGTCGTCGGATGAGGGCGTATGCAATGGTGTTTATAAGGCGCGTGCGCTCACCCCCGCCCCTATCCAGTGGTGAAAAAGAAAAGAGAAAGTAAACCAACTGAGAAATTAGAGAAAGGGAAAGAAAGAAGGGGGGGGGGGGGAGGGGTGCGAGAATAGCTTTTCATTTTCTAATTATTAATGACCGATGCCCCTGCCATCCCCAAACCTCCAATATGTTCTAATGCTCCCTCAATGGACGAACTCAACCTACGCCACAGCCCCTACGTTATCGAGCTGACAGCAAAAACATATTTTGAATTTCAAGAGAAAATAAAATCGTCTTCTAAAACATATTACATGTATAAAACATCAAAGCTTCCGCGCTTCGCGAGGGAGGGGGGAAACTCCCCCTCCCTGCACCCACCATCTAGAGAGCGCGCTACGCGCGCTCATTAAGTGATTCGCACGCTTCGCGTGCTCACTACCGCCCCCTAAAATGAAATCCTGGCTACGCGCTTGTGCGTGTTCCCAAAATGTCCGGTAAAGGGGTTCTTTTCACGCACCAAAGTCCGGCTCGTAGTACACAAAAATCCGGCCCGTATTGACTTTACACATCGGACTTAGGGGTATGTCTTCAAAAGGAGGGAACATGCATAATTATGCGAACCCTAAATAACACCGAGAGTGGGGGGGGGGGGGGGGGGGGGGGAGTCAGAGCTGAGCCTGACTGTATGCCTTGCTTTTTATCGGCCATTCAGAATGTTAAAGAATGCGTGTATTTATTGAATATTTTCTCTTTAAACGATGCAATGTGGCCCAATTCCGTTATTGTTAACATGCCATGTGTTGTTCCCCCTTTTGAAATCAAAAGTGTCGACTAATGTTGAACGTGAACGTGATTTAGGTCATCCAGGGATAACAATAAATACCATGAAAATAATTTGTTCATGGGAGAATACAAACATCACTTTATCGTGCAAAATTATGGAATTTATTCCCTTTCAAATACAACGTGCCAAAAAGATCGAGCAAAAATTTAAAGTGCAGCCTATAATTAGCAAAATGTATAGTAACACAAACTCACGCATCCCCTAAAAGGCACAATCTCGGTAAATTAAATTGGCGATAGAACTGGCTGAAAATCACCAATTTTGTTTAACCAGCTCACTACTGAATTCTCTCATTGCTATATACTTAAAGGGAAATCTATCATTGATAGAAAATTAATATAGAAAAAAAGCAATAAAAGTTAGAGAAGCATTCTAGTGAAAGTTTGAATGAAATCGGACCAAAACACTAGAAAGTTATTAATTTTTTTAAAATTGCAATCTCTATACGTATGGACCCGTCAAATTGGCCCAATCGGAAATGTCTCTGGTGGCGGACAACTTTCTTATTTGTTCCAACACAAAAATGACTAAAGTTTCATATTTTGTTTTTAAATTTATGAATTGGGATGGTCTTTTCTTTTGTAATAATATACTCTCCATGAAAGTTTTTAATTAGTGCCCCAAGGGCGAAGACACTTGGAGAATTTAGTTTTTTTTTAAATTTTGTTTTAATATACACGACAAACGGGAAAGTTATACGTCACTACGTAATAGTTCAGCCGGTAGAGCTGTGGTCTCGTAATCCGGCGACCCGGGTTCGAAACCAAGGCGATGCGCTAGTGCCCTTTGGTAAGGCTTTAATCCTCATTACCAGGTCCCTCGGAGAGGACCTAAAGCCGTTGGTCGTCTGGTTGCTTAATTACAAGCATATATGCTTTCTTAGCAGTCAGGTAAAATAACCACCATCACCAATTTGAGATTAAAAATCCGCATAGCTGATGTGATATCATATTTCAAACAAGATAACGTTTTTTATTATTGGTACGATTCATTAAAAACTTCACCATTGTATTTATTGTATTTTTTCTGCTTTCATACAAATGAACATATTACTAGGGTTGGGTTGCCCTTTAATACAGGAACTACTCAGTCCCAGTATAGGCAATGGGTAAAGATCACAAGTTATAATCTCTTTTTTTCTGTCATCGGAATGATACGGAGGTAATCAAACGAAGAGAATGGGGAAGAATAAAGCTGTTGAGGGAATGTGAGCGAGAGAGAAAGAAAGAAAAGGAGAAATACAGAAAGAGAGAGAGAGAGAGGTAGAGAAAAGGAGAAATGCAGAGAGAGAGAGAGAGGGAGAGAAAGGAAGAAATGCAGAGAAAAAGAGAGAGGGAGAGAAAGGGAGAAATGCAGAGAAAAAGAGAGAGGGAGAGAAAGGGAGAAATGCAGAGAAAAAGAGAGAGGGAGAGAAAGGGAGAAATGCAGAGAAAAAGAGAGAGGGAGAGAAAGGGAGAAATGCAGAGAAAAAGAGAGAGGGAGAGAAAGGGAGAAATGCAGAGAAAAAGAGAGAGGGAGAGAAAGAGAGAGGGAGAGAAAGGGAGAAATGCAGAGGAAGAGATATATAGATAGTGAGAGAGAGAGAGAGAGAGAGAGAGAGAGAGGCGGCTTAGAGAGAAGGACGAGAGAGTGGGTGAAAGTGTGTGTGTGGGGGGGGGGGGGGGGGGGTGAGAAACATATAAACACATTACGATTTACGGTTAAATTACAAGAAAGTAACCTAGATTAGTATTGGCAAAACCACCCTTAACTAGCTCTAACTCTCAATCCCACCCACATTGGAGTAAATAGGAAATTTGGCTCCAGTGGGAGGTTGAGTGAGAGTTTAGTTTCCATCTTTCTCGACTCGAGTCTTTATGTGGGGGGGGGGGGGGGGGGGGGGCGTTGAAGATGGTGTGTGATGTCTCACCTCCCTGGTGCTACTATTGATAGTTCCAGATTAAGCTCGGCATATTTTTGGCCAGGGAGAATAAGATAGAGAAGGGGAGAAGGGCAAAGAGGAGGGGGTAGGGGGAAAGGTGGTAAGGGTGGGCGGGGGGGGGGGGGGGGGTTGGTCATCCAGCGAAAAATACTATAGAGTGGTGAAGTGTAACGTCATCAAAAATCTATTTTTATAATTTTTCAATTTTTTTCTTCATTTTCCGAAAGAGCATCAAAAATAATGTCCAAATGTCGAAAACCAATTGAATATGTTAAGTATTGGCTGAGATATGACCGTTTGAATAAATATACTCCCCATAGGAACTCAGCGTTATTTGCTCTGGCTCCTAATGGTTAGGAGCCAGAGCATATAATACTGAGTTCCCATAGGAAATCTTTTTATTCAGATGGTCATATCTCAGCCAATACTTAAGATATTCAATTGGTTTTCGAAATTTGGACATTATTTTTTATGTTCTTTCGGAAAATGAAGAAAAAATGGTGAAATTCTAAAAATTATTATGATGTCACAGCTTCGGTACTCGTTCACTGCACACACTTACATGTACTGCACTCATAGTCTGGTTGGATGTATGTGTCATAATCTTAGCTCTATGTAAACAATTATTGAAGTAATAATTCAAGGTCTAACTAGTTCAATTCGATATGGCAATTTGTGTTCTCCTTTTTTTGGTTATTATTGAAATATTATCTGATTACATGTCAATGTCATTTTATAGCATTATTTCATGTTTTCTTGTATTTTACCATAAAAAATATGACAATAATAATATCCGGACATGTTTCATGTTTTGTTAATAACAATTAAACCGAAATGGAATTGAATTGAATTGAATAACAACTCGAATAGTAATATATTTGCTAGCAGACGACGATATTGTGCAGAGCGCGCGCCGTCATTGTTGTGTGTAACGCGCCGATTCTTCCACTCGCACGCACCGTCCGGTTGCTATGGACGCTGCGAATCCCCTGCACCCTCTGAATACACAGCCCCATACGTAACAATGTATTATGACCGACCCTTAACCCCTATTGATGAGCTTATCCTTTTATTGTTGTTTTCAGGATAGGGCTTCCACTTGTTACCAGCCATGCGAGTATTTACTATAGAGATTTCAGTCTTCTTATCCATGAAGAAAGCACTGCCGTAGCTATAATACATACTGGAGTAGTTTATGAACGTATAATCTTCTTTTGGAGAGCCTTGCTTTCATAATATTTGCTGTCACGATCAAGTCGTGGATAATTGTATCCCGTATTTAACTTCATAACAAGAAATATATGAACTGTTTCGGATTGAATTACGGATATGACTATTGTTTTTGTGATACCATGGATATCGACATGTGAATACTACTAGTTATAATATACATGTTTGGAATCACTTTATACATGTTACTTAACAGATTAGGTGAGTAATGCTGTTATATTATGTTGTACATGCTATGAATTAATGTGCACTGTTCAAGAGAAAGAATTTGACGTTGGTAATATGGGACCGAACGCTGTACCCATTGCTATACTGTACGTAGTAATACAAATGATGTAGATATACCCTCAATTTAGAAAATCTTTTTGCCCTAAGGCGAATAAACCCATCCGAAATATATATATCGGGTTCCAAACATGAAGCAGCTTTAAGAAATATTTATTAAAATATAGTGATTTTCATTTTGTGTAAGCTATCGAAATTAAGTTTAACAATTAATGTATTACAATGAGTAACTCAATGTTACACATGTACATTTCAAATCAAATTAAAATCCAACCAATTTAATGAAATAAAATCCATATTTTTTAGTTGTCATCGATAAACAGGCAGAGATGGCCGGGATAATTCGAATCTACTTCCAAATGAATAGTGGAAACGGAATGGTAAATCAACATAGCCAACAACAAAACTATCATAAAAAATAAACATAAACAACTTATAGCAAGAAAATACGGCAGAATGACACCTAGACAAATAATATTTAGAGCACATTTATTAATGTATTGTGAAATTTAATTCATACTTTTTTCCTTCAATTTTTCAAGCATAATTATAATGCAGTCGTAATAACTTTATTTGTGTATATGTATTCACTATTCGAATTATTTGGTTAACTTGAAATTACTAAGGGGGGGGGGGGGGGTTAGCATTTTTTCGCAAATTCATTTATTCAGTCTGTTGTGAAACGAAAATACTCGGCCTTTCCCAAATTGCATCAGGTTTCAGTGCAATTGGTACATTGAGTTCGCGTAAAGGTATCTCATTCGTAATAATTGATCAGATTTTGATCACTTCTTTCGTACCAGGCAAATTAATCTTCTTTCAATAGCGTTGACCGTAACTAATATGGCTTCATTATGATGGTTAAAACCAGTCAGCGGAGGCGTACAATAGCCAATCTGGATATTTAATTACTATTCAGAATATAACCTTGACTTGTATTTTCATATCAAGATAATAAAATTGAAGCTTTTATCATTGCCGATAATTTTCTTTGAACACCGTCCTTCTCCCCTCCTCAATTGAACAAAAATACTCGATCCTCTCCCAGTACAAACAAGTGCAGATAATTGGCTCTCATATGCCCGCCCATCAAAAATAGTACACCGCCAGCACCACCGCCACTTACAATAACAACATCAAAATAACATCAATGGAAATATATTGTTTTACCAAAATAATATATTGCAGGCGAGTCGATGTTTTCGGTACAATTTTGAACGATTAATTATTGGTTCAATATCTCCTAATAACCTCATCCAATGAACGGACATAATGATGTAGGAGAAATCAATGTATGTATTTCAACAAAAAAAAAAAAAGGGGGGGGGGGGTCCCCCTTGGCACTATTCGGTGTAGTGATGAACGGTGGAAGGCTAATTGTCTATGTATTACAAATTCGAATTAAGCATGGTTTCGAGGTATATCGAGATTGGTGCCGGACAAATTTGCCGGTAAGTTAGCCGGAAATTTTCCAGCAAGATTTATACAAAAACGAAACAGAAAATCATATTTTGTAAAGATTATGTGAAAACCTGAACAGAGGAAACTTAAGCTGACAGAAGCATGTAATGGATGGGACAGGATTGGGGGGGGGGGTGTCACACCCTCCCCCCTACCACTGAATTTATCATCAATGCACCTTGCCATATTTAATTCGGATACTGATAGTCACTTGTTTTAATCTAGTATGTTATGTAATATGTCTTTCATTGTTTAGTTTACATTGGACTGTACATTGATGTTTACAACCAGAACTAATTCCGTTTTTCCTTTGCATTTGCACTATAAAGGTGACATTGAACACAAAATATGTTATTTTCCATTATGTCTTTTGATATAGATCTTTAAGTGTGTATTGCATGAGAAGGAAAACCCCTTACGAACAAGATGAAGAGTGTGCCGCTGACATCTCGAGGACCAGTAGATGATAACAACTTTCCTTGGGTGGTACGTTCAAATGATTGCTAGAACTTATAGAGATGGAAAGAGTCCGCGAGACCAACAGCCAATAAGCCCGGCAATTATCAGTCTCGCGACCTACGAGAAAGTTTTCTAACAGGTCGTTAGTATACAATGCATTCTGGCCTAGAAATTGTAGCATAACTTTTGTAACCGGAGTTAATGAAATACTAGCACCTTATACCTCTTTTGCTTTTGTCGTCTCATTCACTCTTAATCTAAGTAACTTCATCAATTTAGATTTCGTAATTGAACCTGTTTGTATTGTATACGTGTTTACATTTTTTGTATCTGATTGTATATACACTATTTGATGGTATATTGACTATTTGATTAGACAAAATCGTGGTCATTATGGTAGCCTGATTTGTATTCCACATTTGCCCCCGAACCGTTGTGACGTCACATTGCCGCAAACATGATGTCATAATTAATTCATTTTCATGACAGGAATCCCAGACTAGATCGTACCTGAGCAAAGGCGAAATCGGCTTCCGGGGGTTGCGACACGAACCCCCTCCTCACACCTCGCCCCATCGAAGAAGTCGAACCACAGGCAGTGTTGCAACGCCAAGTATGTATGGGGACCGAGAGACGGTGGTCCTACCGAAGATTGCCACAGGACGAAGTGCCAAGAGTGCCAAGACGATGTGGAAGGATTACGAAAATATCAAGATCAAGACTGTACTCCAAAATGTAAGCAAAAAAAAAAAAGTGATTAAAGCAACAAATATCAAAGTAATCGAACGTGCTAAAGTGTTCATGATCTTCCTGGATACTCGGTTAACATTACTCTATTTATCTTTTGAAGTCTAGATATCCCATGGGTATATTCATTTATAAAACAACTTTAAATCAGTTATTTCTAAAGAAAAACAGTGTCATTTTTGTTAGCAGTGTCATTGATTTCCCGACTATGGTGTACGTCCATGATCATCTGCAGCTCACTCAAGAATTTCTGTTTATTCCACACAGGAATTGGAGACACCAAGAATCACACCGCTTTACGTGCCGAAGAACCCCAAACCCCTGTACAAACGATCCGTCGACGAGTGGAAACCATTCGACATCTTGCACTTCCGTGAGTTTGCCGAGAGTGGGGAGATCGAACCTGAAGACGTCACTAATTGCAACGAGTTCTACTCCCAGATCACCTTCTTGCGGAATGCTGTGAGGAACATCGATGGCACCACTAGTTATCAGGTTAGCTAAGGCAAAGTCACTGAAGGGGCACTACTAGTTACCAAGTTAGCTAAGGCATAGCCACTGAAGGGTCACCACCACCACTAGTTATCAGGTTAGCTGTGGCATAGTCACTGGAGGGGCACCACTAGTTACCAGGTTAGCTAAGGCATAGCCACTGAAGGGGCACCAGCACCACTAGCTATCAGGTTACCTGTGGCATAGTCACTGAAGGGGCACCACTAGTTACCAGGTTAGCTATGGCATAGTCACTGAAGGGGCACCACTAGTTACCATGTTAGCTAAGGCATAGCCACTGAAGGGGCTCCAGCACCACTAGTTATCAGGTTAGCTAAGGTATAGTCACTGAAGGGGCACCACTAGTTACCAAGTTAGCTAAGGCATAGCCACTGAAGGGGCACTTCGGTCAATGGGAGGGGAGGGGGGGGGGGTCTTAGTAGTTGCTTGATGACAATTGGTTTATGATCGTTCACAACTCATGGAAATGCGTTGGTCTCTGGACCTCACACTTTACATCATCCTAACCCTAACTCTAAATCCCAAACTAACAACCCTACTCCAACAGTTAACCTTACCCACATAAACCTTTTGACGAAATAAAACCCAGAGTAACTGTCGCCCCGTAAAACATTCGGATCAAGAAGGATACGGACAAAAAAGACTACTTCGTATTCAACTCGTGAGATAACCGAGAAACATGTTAGAGGCCTTTAATTGTACATGACATTCATTAATTGTAACCATTGTCAAATGCTGTACTACAAAGGCTACGGAAAACCAAACATGCGCAGCTACCATTATACCGCAGCGAGAGAAAACAATACGGACTTGTTGATTGTGTATTGACTTTTTCACCTGCTGTTCAATGTGTCACAACTTAATATCGACTGAATCCTTTTGTCAGTCTTTAATGACGTAATAATGGCGATGTGCGATTGACTTGACAAGGGAACCAATCACTTCATTATGTATAATGACATATATCGAATCGCATACTGTTAGAAAAAAGGAACTATGTCTACAAACTCATAGCAGCCTTATAAGACGCAATCATGCGCTGAAAAAGTAACACATAATATATCAGATTCCTTACATGCTCGGTTCAGTGATAATGTACACAAAGCTCCAAAATATGCGCCTTTTGAGGTTTAACATCGGCCGCAAGACCTTTTACCACTGAAAGCTTTGAAGTACAATTTTTGCTCAATTTTGCATCCGTTTTAGAGAGGTAACTCTGCAAACATAAAATACTAAAGGGGTTTCTGGTAACGCATTAGACTACAGGTGCAACTTTGTTTTTGTTTATTGACAATGCTAGAAACTATGATCATTTTTGTTATTCCATGACTTCTCCCCATCTTCAGAATCTTTGTAAGAAGCCTCGGAGCTGGAGTGAGCCCTCTGTCGTCGACGACCAGCCAGGATTGATCGATGGTAACCGACTCCACTGGCAATCAGCATCCTCATCTCTCCCGCATCCTCGGATGTTACTACCACTCAAACCAGGACCTACCACCAAGTGGTACGCGTGGCGGGCTGCACCACCCAACAAAAACAGCGATAAACAGAAGTCCAAACGGAAAAATCGGATAGGTATGTAAGGCATGGATTCATCATAATTAATGTAAAAGGAACCCATTGGACAAAAATACAGTTCTACATTATTATTTAGCCTGTTGCACATACGGTGTCATATTGACTGTGGTATCAGGGTGCAAGAGTCTTGCTCCTGTGACATCTGTTCGGCGTCGATTTCCTAATGGATTTTAACCCCGGACCCAACACTGTAACCAAACCTAACCTTTACACATGTATTATCATCAGTAATAGTAGTAGAACTGTTTTGTTCTTGCTCAAGATTGATTGAATTAAATTTGTCTTTGAAAAAAAAAAGTAATAGTAGTAGTATATTTGTTATCTTGTTGTTGTTACTATTGTTTTTGTTTTTATTATTATCATTATCATTATTGTAAGTAGTTGTAGAAGTGGGGGTAGTAGCAGTAATAGCAAAACTATTATCATATTATGATTTTTTTTTTCGCAGATCGTCACGGAGCTTTCTTAGACGCTTTCAGTCCACGTGTCGCACCTCATCCCACACCGGCTGCGATAAAAGTTCCAGAGAGCACACCCAAATCCGACAACTCCAGACTCCGACAAGTGCCTCGTGGAGGAATACCCTCAGATCCTGCAGCGACGAGTACAGCAGGTGGACACAAGATAGAGAATGAAGAGAACGGTTTGAATGTAGAACCTAAAGGACTTACATTCATTACCGAATCGAAAGAGGAGAGCGTTGATCAAGCCGCACAGAGACAGACTGATGTGCATGTCTCTCAGGAAACACCCAAAGACAACGTCGGACAAGAGCAAGATAACAACGAGGCTGATGGAGCTGATGAACAGAAGATGGTTAAGAATGAACAATCGGGAGATGCACTAAAGGAGAGTGGAGAACCGCAATCAACTAGTCATGGAGAGGATGGAGCTACAAGTACGCTTCACGAAGATACCGATGTAGCAACTCAGGAAGGGGAAATGGAAAATGGAGCTGAGGAAAGTTCTCCGGGAGAGGAACAAAACAATAGTGATGACAGTAAGAGCGATCAAAATCCTACTAACGAAGATGAGAATGATACACATGCAGGGGAAGAGACGGCCGAGTATAATGAGGTGAACGACGGTGATCAAGGAGTATCTCACGAACCAGAATCAGAGACAGACGCAATTGATGAGGACATACTTGTGCCAGACACGCCTATTGATGTCTCCGAGAACGTCGAGCCTGCTACAGAGGATATCATCCAAGGGGACGGAACTCCTGACAATCAGAACAATGATCAAGAGTTTTTAAGTGATAGAGAAACGCCAGGAGCTACTGATCAACCTAAAGTGACAGATGAAGTCCCCGAAGACGCCGAAGAACCACAACCTTCGACTGGTAATGAAGACCTAGAGACAGGTGAAAAGTCCGGCCAACCTACTGATGATGGTGACCATAAATGAATTGAGCCTTGAACACAGATATAAATCATAGTGTTGAACTTGATAGAGGAGACGCTCAGATTATAAAAGAGGATCTACATTGCATTTCCGATGATATGACAGGACTTGTATTCAGATAACAATTAAAATGACTGACATTTATACCGTCTGTACTGAGCCATTGATTAGGAAAGTTTGGCCAACCCGATTCGAGTTGGGCACTGTAATGGCGAATATTGCTTTGTTTGGCAAGCACAAAACAAAAGAATAGACGCCATGCATGTTATGACCAGGAGAGCTTGGGTATTTGTTTCTAGTTCATCGTGACTGTGCCATGGACCAGTGAGGGCCCGGTTGTTAGAGTCGCTGCCCGGCAAGCAGTAGATGGCAGGTTCAAATCCCGCTTGTTCCAAGATTTTTTCTGACTTGTTTTTCAATTGCAGATCGATCTTATTTACTGGGTGTAAGCCACAAATATGTTCAAACTATTGATACCATGTTGGCCAAATTATGTGTCTCTGGATCTCACAGTGAGCCATCTTTTGAGGATTCATGTGATCAAGATATTCGGTGACATAGGCCATGTTATACCGAGTCAGAAGGCTCAAGGGGTCGACAATCTTTCGATCTCCGAAATATTTAAGAGACCGAAGAGATCGGTAACGCAAAACCCTTTTATAAATAGTGAGAGTGTCCCTGAGACCGTAAGCGAGTGAAAAACCAACTCTGAATTTTTATCTCATCGACTTCAGTCTCATAAAACCTTATTTCTTGATTAGGCTTCGTTTGCTTTTCGAACTAAAAACTGACATGTGAATACTCATTCGACATGAAACTTAGGATGCTAATGATAGCGATTCCAATAATGTTCATTAGTTAGGATACATTATATCTGTTTTATGTATGATATTTCATATGTTTGCGTTCGAATAAACAAACAAATGATGATACATTTGCAATCTAAAGATAGCGTACTTATTGTGTTGTGTGTTTTCAAGTCCACTGTCGATATTCTACCTGTATACCCTTGCAATAACACAAATTGTTTGTTTCGTGCGTAAAACTACATTCATGCTGATTAGACTATTAAGAGCACAATTATAGATTGCATGCGACTTTGATACCAATCCAACCTTTGTAATATTTTAATTTGTGTGAAAGCAGGAAATTAAGAGAAGCAGAATGGTGACAATTTGGAATAAAACGGAAAAGTTATGAATATACAAAATCTATTAATTCAAATCTCAAATTGGCGATTTTGTCAGTGGACTACGACGTAGTCACGCATGGACAACTCTCCCATTTGTCCTGTTAGAAAAAAAACATTATTCTATTTTTCTCCAAAAATACTATCTCCTTTGAGACCATACTAAAATATATCATGGATACATATTATTATAGGTCCTTTAAAATGAAAAGGCCCTCTTAAAGCTAATTTTGATCTCTGTTATGGGAATTGTTTGTAGAGAAAACATAGCTATAATTTATTCTGGATTGTTTATCCTGCAGTAGATCGATCTTTTGGAGCAGTAAAATAAACCTCCTGGAAATCATCTTCAATAAAAACTACAACTCTCATTTGCACAAAGTGACTTGTGTTAAGCACATGGTTGTGGGCCTACTTACCTTGATTTCCTTATCTTTCTATTTTTATTACTCAGACCCTTTATATGTTCTACCAAAATCGTTTGGCACATGTCATTTATTTGTAATTTTAAACATTGAGTGTAAGTTTTGTTGGATTGTGTGAAAATTTGTTTTTCTATCATAACCAGTAATCAAGCTTATTTTTTAGTTGCACATTAAGACCGGTGTCCCCGCCACCCCAAACCTCCAAATTGTGTCAGTGCGCCCTCAATGGATAAATCCACCCTACGCCACTGCCCCTACGTCATCAAGCTAACAGCAAACAAATGCTTTGAATATCCAAAGAAAATAAAATCGTAAATCATTCTTTAAAACAACACCCATTTATTTGTTGAGAAATGCCAACTTTGAAAGAGAGTTGCTTTGAAAAAAAAAAGAACATGGACATAAAAACAGACAAAACAACAAAGAATAAAACAAATAATCACAGATAAACTTTACAAATCGGTAATGTCACTAAAAGGTAGTGCCGGATAAATATTTTCAACAGTAACTTTGACGAGAATAAATTCTATAACTTAATTATATCAGAGGACATGTATCAAAGAGATAGATGTTTAATGCATGTTTGTTGTTTTTGTTTATGATATACACCAGGGACGTATGCAGGATTTTTTCGAGGAGGGGGGGGGGGGGGGGGGGGGTTTAAGAGCATTTAAAAAAAAAATTAAAAACAAAATTGAGGGGGTGGGGGGGGGGGGGGTTCCTCCAAAACACACACATAAACAAATTGAGGGGGTTCGACCCCCAACCCCCTCCCCCTGTGTACGCGCCTGATTTACCCTATCTAGTGGTTAAATTGTAGTTTGCACCTCGGAGAAGCCAAATAAATTGTTTTAAAATGTGTTTTTACTTAAGGTATATAGTGGAAACTACCGTGACATAAAATGATTTACAATAAAATATTGTGGTATCTAATCAGAGCTGAGCCCGACTGTAGCCTATTCTTTACTTGTTGTCGGTTATCTGGAATATAAAGGAATGCGTGTATTTAAAAAAAATTATCTCTAATTTTCTAACTGTTATTTTTAACATGCCATGTACTCCCCCCCCCCCCCCCCCCCCCCCCCCCCCCCCCCCCCCCCCCCCCTGAAGCAGAGAGACGGCTTATGTCGAATCTACGCGACAAGGATATCCAGAAGTCACCGTAAATACATTGAAAATAATTTGATCATGGGAGAATACAAACATCACTCTATTTTGAACACTTATTGAATTTAATGCCATAAAGGTCGGGGCAGAAATTTAAAGTGCAGCTTATAACTAGCAAAATGTACAGTGACACTACACACGTACCTCAAAGGGCATGCATTCAATAGTGATAATCATTATTGGTAAATTAAAGTGGCAATTTCAGTTTAAAACAGATGGAATGTTAAACATAACGGTCACTTGCTAAAAATCACGATTTATTTTACCGGCAGCTACTGATGTCTTTCATTGCTATATAAGGGAAATCAAATCTTGATAGAAAACTTCTAAAGAAAAAGCAAAAAGGTTAGAGAAGCATTCTAGTGAAAGGTTGAATGAAATTAGACAACAAAATTAGAAAGATATAATTTTTGTTTGCAATCACTGTAGGCATGGGCCCTTCAAATTGGCTGAATCGGTAATGTCTCTGTGATTGACGTGATGGGCAACTTTCTCATTTGTTCCAAAACAAATCCCAAAATGTCCGGGGTGTAGTTGTCCCACGGGGTAGTTGTCTGGGAGGTAGTTTTCCGGGATGTAGTTGTCCCGGGGGTAGGCATCCTAGAGTGTGGTTGCCCTAGAGGGAAATTGTCCTAGGGGGTAGTTGACTGGGGCGGTTATCCGGGGGTGGATGTCCAGGGGGTAGGTGTCCTAGAACCCATTATGATGCATTTAACATTACCTACGAGCAATAATTTATAGATAGATAATCAAGGGGCTACTTTTTCCTTAAAGTAGGTATACCAAACCCACGCGACCATCTTAAGTAATTAGGCTTTTGGGTCTAACACGTATATATTATGTATACATTAACCACAACCAACATTTTGTAGGGTTTTCTTAAAGGAAAAATCTAGTTTTGTAAAGGTCAAAACGAGTTTGGTCACTACATGCGCAATGCGCTGATTCTTACGCTCGCACGCACCGTCCGATTGCTATGGACGCTGTGATACCCCCCCCCCCCCCGAGTGAACCACTTGCATCCTAAAATACACATCCCCGTACGCTCGGCTAGCAACGTATAATGATCGGGCCTTAATCCCCATTGATGAGCTTATCCTTTTATTGATGTTGTTCGTAATAGTTTAATGGCGTTCATTCAGTATTATTGATGTTTTCAAGATAGGGGTTCCACTTGTTATCGGTCGTGCGAGTTTTTACTATAAAGATTTCCCAACTCCTTGTCCGTGAAGAAAGCAATGCCATAGCTAGAATACATTCTGGAGTAATATGGCACGTATAAATTAATCTTCCTTTGGATAGCTTTGCTTTCATGATATTAGCTTTGACGATCAAGCTAAGGATAATTGTATTCTGTATTTATATTCATAACAAGAAATATATGAATTGTTTTGGATTGAATTATGGATTGAATTACGGGACTATGGATATCGACATGTGAATACTCCTAGTAATAATATACATGTTTGGAATCACTTTATACATGTCAACTACGAGTTCGGGTAAGTAATACTGTTTTATTATGAAATGTTTTCTTCTCAAAATTACTTTTTTTTTATAATTCAATTCCTTTGAAGTGCATTCCCACTTACTTGGATGAAATAACATTTTTAATTTGTATTACATTAAACTACTACCAGCTCTGTGTTAGTTTCTCTCTCTCTTTCTCTCTCTCTCTCCCTCTCTCTCTCTCTCTCTCTCACACACATACACAACACTCTCTCTCTCTTTTCTTCTCCCCTTCTCTCTTTCCACTCCTTGTCCCTCAACATTTATTTCCCTTTCTCCTTATTTTCCTGCTCCACATTTTTCGATTACTTCTTTTTTCCCTTTCTAAGTTTAACTGAGTTTGTTCGTCGAATTATTGTTAAATAATGAATTGTTAATATGATGTGCTTTTCTTATTTTTTAATAAAATATCTGTAAATCATGCATCAAATTCAGCCATTGTCGGCGATATGTTGATGAATAAATACCTTACCTAATACCTTGAATTAATGTGCGCTGTTCAAGAAAAAGAATCTAACGTTAGTAATATGGGACCAAACGCTATACCCATTGCTATACAACGTAATAATACAACTGTCAAAAGAACTGATGTAAATATACCTTCAATTTAGACAATCTTTAGGTCCTAAGTCAAATAAAGCCATCCAACATAATGCATAACGGGTTTTAAACATGAAGCAGCTTTCAGGTATATTAAATATAGACAGTGATTTTCATATTGTGGAAGCTATCGAAATTAAGCAAACGAATTCGTTTTCAGAGGCTGCCTGCCGTAGCAACAAACAGAGTTGACAAAAGACTTAACTCTGTTTTGTTGACGATCAGCCATGCATCAAGTCTTTCGTTTTCTTTGTGCATGGCTGATCGTCAACGAAACGGAGTGGTGAGTAAAAATGATAAAAGCTAATTGTCAGTCTTTCGTCTTCTTTGTTGATAGGGCAGGCAGCCAGTGGAACGGATTCGATCAATAAATTTATGAAATTACAAGCATTACTTTAAACAAACATAACTTTGTTATACCTGGCTCTTTTTTCTGATTGAGATGTCATATGAAAGGGCAAAAAATGAACTTTCTAGAAATGTGATTTTCTCTTCGACTTCAGATACCGTCCCCCAATTGATTTTTGGTACCCTTTCTTCAAATTGTTTTTAATCAGTCATATATGACATATGAATCATATGAGTTGCATCAAATGAAAGAGAAAGATCTCAGCTTTATAATTGTGATTAAGTTATGATAAAACATCGATAATTCTCAGTTTCGTTTTTTCTGGGACGCACTGTTTGGGAAAATCTATGTACAAACAAAATGAGGAGGGGGTCTCCCCATGATGATCAGTACCATGTTACTTTTCTTTTCGTATCAAGCATGGGTTCGAGGTTTATCGAGGCGAGTGCCTAATTTAGGATAGGTGGTGGTGTCAGACGATCTTGCCGCCAAGGTAGCCGGACATTTTCTATCAAGATGACAACAAAAATAAATATAAAAATCACATTTTGTAAAGATGATATAATAACCTGAATAAAGGGAACTTAACGATACTATGTCCCTTTTACAGCCAACATCAAAATATGTAGAACTTTGCAGAGCTAAGGCGAAATCGGCTTCCGGGGGTGGCGACACAAACCCCCTCACACTTCGCCCCATCAAAGAAGTCGAACAACAGGCAGTGTTGCAACGACCAGTATATATAGTGACCGAAAGATGGTGGTCCTACCGAAGATTGCCACAGGACGAAGTGCTAAGAGTGCCAAGCAGATGTGGAAGGATCACGGGAATATCAAGATCAAGACTGTTCTCCAAAATGTAAGCCCTAAAAAGGGGTTCGGGTCGCAGGGGCATGGGGGGGGGGGGGGGGAGTAAAATTTACATCCACAATCATTCTGTCACCAAATTTGAAAATGTTCGAGCCTGGTTGGAAAATCGTAAAACTTGATGAACATTTTTCTTCCTATTACTGTTTTTTCCCCTCTACTTCGTTATTGTTGGGTGTGTTTTTGTTTTGCTAGTTGAAAAAAAAAATTATGGAGACTGTGTTTGCACATTGTAAAGCCTGAAGACCATTTTTCAATTCCCTTCTGGAAAACTTGAACATTCGAAGACCCCTTTCATTATTTGAATTTGACTGCCTAACTTGTAAGCAATTCAGTCCAACCCCTTATAGCCCTCGAACTAAAATTATGAAGTTGTTGTCTTCGCCTTCTTTTTTTCTTCATACAAAACAATTAAACAATGATTCAAAAAAAAAAAATACTTACTGAGGTGAACAAGAAGAATGAAAAGTGATTAAAGCATTTAATATCAAAGCAATCGAATGTGCTAAAGTGTTCATGATTTTCCTGGATTCTCGGTTTACAATACTCTATTTATCCTTTCTCTCTAATGTCTAGAAATCTAATACAGGAGCTGGGTATAATCACTTAACCCTTATAAAGCTGGGAGGGGGGGGGGGGGGGGGGACAGTGAAAAAGAATGCTTAGATATGAATAATATATGATTTATAGGTAAAAAATGCGATGCTATGACCTTATTTACATAAATTACCATAAATATGCAAATAGGTGAATTTCTCTAAAAATAGAAAATATCATATTATTATATACACTTCACTAGACATGCGTGCACATTTTCGCGGAGATCGGCTGCTTCACGGCCGAGATCTTAAGGGGAAGGGGGAGCATAATGCCCCCCCCCCATTGTGTAGTAAGACCTCAAATAGCCCCGCCTTTTTAGGGTTAAAAGGCAACTTGAAATCAGCAATTTCTAAAGAAAAACAGTAGTGTCATTTTTGTTAAAAGAGTAATTTATTTTCCTAACTATGGTGTACGCCCATGATCATTTGCAGTTCCGTCAAGAATGTATGTTATTCCACTGTAACACAGGAGTTGGAAACACCAAGAATGCCACCGATATACGTATCAAAGAACCCCAAACCCCTGAATGAACGACCTGTGGACGAGTGGAAACCGTTCGACATCTTGCACTTCCGTGAGTTTGCCGAGAGTGGGGAGATTGAACCCGATGACGTCACTGATTGTAAAGATTTGTACTCCCAGGTGACGTTCTTGATGAATGCTGTGAGGAACATCGATAGCACCATTAGATATCAGGTAAGCTAAGGCGTAGCCACTGAAGGGGCATTTCAGTCAGGGGAAGGGAGGGGGGGGGGGGGGGTCAGGAGCGGATTCAGGGGAGGGGGAGGCGACGGGCCCGGCCCCCCCATAGTCCAAAAAACAGGTTTATAAAAAATAAGATGGTAACGTAAATTTTACCTTTTTAAACCAAAAATGAAAATGCCCCCAAACCCCCTTAAAAAGTAAAGTAAAGAAAAAAAAGTATTACAAAAAAAGGGGGGGGGGATGAAGAAAAAGAAAAGAGTGTTCTCCCACCCCCCTCCCTCCCCCCTCCCTCCCCCCCCTGAGCGAAATATCGGTCGGCGCGATTTTCAAATTTCGCCCCCCCCCCCTATTGGACAATCCTGGATCCGCCACTGGGGGGGGGGGGGGGGTGACAGTCGTAGCAGTTGCTTGATGACAATTGGTTTAGTATCGTTCAAAAATCGTGTAAATACGAGGACAGTGGAAGAAAGGACGAGAGAAACGCCTCATGGAAAGAAAATGATATGACCCCACTCCTTCCTCGTAGCTTATACCACTTATTTTCAAAATCCTTTTACCTAGATATATACAGCTGATGCATGATGTAACTTTGCAAACTAAAAAGTGTAAAGGGGTTTCTGGGAACGCATTCGACTTAAGGTGCGAGTTTGTTTTTCGTTTACTGACATTGTTAGAAAATATGATAATTTCTGTCTCCTCTATGACTTCTCCCCGCCTTCAGAATCTTTGTAAGAAGCCCCGGAGCTGGAGTGAGCCCTCTGTCGTCGATGACCAGCCAGGGTTGATCGCCGGCACCCGACTCCACTGGCAATCAGCATCCCCATCTCTCCCGCATCCTCGGATGTTGCTACCACTCAAAGCAGGACCTACCAACAAGTGGTACGCGTGGCGCACTGCCCAACCCAACAACAATGATAAGAAAAACAGAAAACCACGAGGAAAAATCGGATAGGTATGTAATGTATTGATTCGTCATCATTTCTAAACTAAACAGGTACCCAAGAGACAAAGATACAATAGGGACCTTTAGATTTGCACAACAACAACGTGGATTGCTACGATCGACGTCCGTTTAATGCTCTGCCTTGAATGGACGTCACACGTATCAGTCCACGTAAATCTAAAAGTCCCTATTGCTACATTAATGTACGGCCCGTTGCACACAATGCGTCATGTTGATTGCGTTTTCAGGGTGCATGACCCTTGCCATTGCTACAACCCGTCGGCTGTCCGCAAAAAGGTCGTAGGAGCCATGTATTTTCAACAGCAGTAGCGGCCTTCTTGCCGGCAGCTGACGAACTGCTCGGTTCAATTTTCTACACAAACCGAATTCTTAATTTGATTTATTACCAACCCCAAGCCCAACACTATAACTAACCCTGATCCTACACCTTGTCTTTCGGATGGAGACGTTAAAGGTCGGTCCCCAGACGTAAATAGTCATATTTGATTGATTCGCGTCTGTAAAAACCCAATACACACACACACACACACACACACAACTTGCCCAAAACATAATTGCAAAGCTATTCCAAACCCTCTACTTTTAACGAAATAAAGCCCGGGGTAATTTTAGGGACACGCATTACGAACCTCCCTCATAAAAGCAATGAAGGGAATGTTGTGCTTGCACCAGAAATTCAACGCAACGATTGAACTGTTCATGTTTGCGTTGACGCATTGTATGATATATCACACTCGCATGGTGCGTCAGAGACCGTGCCAGTCGCCGACGCAGTCCCGACGCAGTCCTGCGCCAGCGTAATGACGCCTCGTGCGCAACGAGATTTAGATCAAAGGCGAAGCCTACCCCTTTAAAGAGGAAGTTGAGTTCTGGGAAGCGGTGAAAAATTATTTGTGAACGTTATCATTGTTATTTTGCATGTGTGGAAGAACATCAGATTAAAAATGTTCCCTGAAAAGCATGGCTCTTCAAATTCCTTAATATTCTAAATATGGCATGTAGCAGCATACAAATCTGTTCCAATTATGCCACATGGTCTTCTAGTCCCATATACATCTTTCTGTGTATAGTGTTTGTAACTCTACCAAGACTGGAACAAATTTATCATCATTGTGATGATTCCAGAATCTTGCAGTACACACCTTTACTTATATGCTAGATGGTCAACCTTTTCTGATCGATTCCACAATGTTTCTTTCACAATGCAATCGCATGACCAGAACTCAACTTTATATTTAACCAATTTTTAATACCATTTGAGGCAATTCGGGATGACCACCTTGATGACAGGAGAATATCGTTGTCCCTTTTTTTTTTTAAAATATGACCGTTCAACCATTTGTAATCACTTGTACAGTAAGCTTTAAACAAGGGATGTAAATATCATGAATATTAAACCGAAGTTTAAAAAGAGTGTAATGGCAGCCATGCTAAAACCGTGGTAGTAATATTAGAGCGTCAACAGCGACAATGTGCATGATAAGAGCGCTATCAAAGTTCCCATTGTTGCTATTATTATTATTATTGTCAGTAGTAGAAGTAGCAGTAGAAGTAGCAGTAGAAGTAGAAGTAGTAGTAATAGAAGTGTTATCATTATTAATATAATTGTTTTCGCAGATCACCACGGAGCTTTCTCGGAGGCTTTCAGCCCATGTGTCGTTCCTCATCCAAAGCCAGCTGTGGTAAAAGTTCCAGAGAGCGCACCCAAGCCAGACAACTCCAGACTCAAGTGCCTCGTGGAAGATTACCCTCAGATCATACAGCGACGAGCCCAGCAGGTAGAGACAAGATAAAGAATGAAGAAAACAGTACGACTGTAGAACCTCTTTCATTACCGAATTGAAAGAGGAGAGCGTTGATCAAGCTGAAAAGAGACAGACTGATGTTAAATTTGTGTCAGGAAAAGACCGTATACAACGTCGGACAAACCTTGGTTTGAAACGCGTCGAAACGCGTCATATGACGCACATAAAGCTAAGTTTGTCGACAAGCCTCCTTTATGAATTCGGGCCAATACGTTTGACCAAAAGTGTTACTTCTGTAACAGTGGTCATCCAATGCATGTTCCGAAAGTCAACCGAGACGGCAAAGAGTTGGATTTAAATATGGCAGAATTTTCAAGTTTGATGTACGTTTTATATATATATATATATATATATATATATATATATATATATATATACGTATATATACATGTACTTGTTTAGGATAGTGTTTCATAAAAATATGAACGACAGAGCGAGTTTGTTCTTCGCACACATGTATGCCCATTATGTGTATCTACCGTACTTGCTTTCGTGTAAAATCATATTTTTCAATAAATCGCTTTAAAAAGAAGTATGTGGATTGTGATGACATTATTGTGTGTCATGCCTTCTGATTGTTATATTTTTCGTTTCTAAAGCTATTCTAAACAAATTTGTAAAGGACGTAGTAATAATGCTCACCTTTGATTCGCAGGACCCGCTGATCTTACTTTGCACATTACCAGGAACTCCAGTCATCGTGCAATAAATACCCAGCAGACCCTGCTCGGCAAAGATTCTCGTTAACTTTAACCTACTGATGAGGAACGTTCTTAAATTGAAGTAGAGTGCACTTGATCCATCAAATATAAATATAAAACACATGATTTCAATTGTGTTTTTAAACACCTTTGATTCGGTGTTTAAACAAAATGTATTGCCGTCTATTATGATTATGCAGGTTTCATGCTTAATCACATGACACTTCCAATACATTGAGACAATTTCATGAATTAAAGTGGAAATTCAAAGAAAATCACAAATATGTCAACTAATTTACCACTAGAAACTAGTAAGCTAACATATGGCCATCGTACACGTTTTAGGTCAACTACATATCGGGTGATTTATGAAAAATACAAATACAACCACCTCCATATATAGCAGCTGGGATACACGAGAGATTCGCCAGAAAAATAACGATGCTTTAATGACGTCACAATATGGACCAATACTGCCCAAGCAGACGACATCCCATAAAGAATAAAAATAATTGCAAAGCTATCATTTGTCAGATTATAATGAGTTTAGTGTATATAATTGTGATAGCATTTCAAACCATTCAAAAGGGGATATGAAACCGATTCTGATAACTAAAATCTTTTGTTTGTAAATACGCAGGATAGGGGTTAATTAAGAATCAAAGAAACCAGACTTTCAAATTGAAACCCCCCGGAATGATATTAAGGAGTCACGGCATTTGTTCCCTCTTGAAACGCCGAACATACCGCGGTGTTTGCAGCTGAATATACAATGGCGTCTTATTTTGTTTATAAGCGACATATTTCTTTATTTTTTTCGTCAAAATAAAACCATGCGCGGGGTTTAGAGCGAGGCAATAGATTATACATTAAGCCTGACGGTAGTGAAGTAAGAAAAAGAACTCAAGAGAAGATGAAAAAACAGGCACTGAAAATGTGTAAGATGTCATGGGACATCATCTGCTTGTGCAAATCATGTCCATACTGTGATGTCACACATCTCAGCAGCGTTTGGAGAACTCTTCAGGTGCTATGCAGGGGCTGTATTTAAGCGTTTTGTAATTTATAATAATCATTACTTCGCATGTTTCCATGCATTGAACTTTGATAACCTTGTCGAATCAAAGTTTCAACTTGGCAATGATGAAAATAAAGTTAGTTTTTAAAGTCAATGAATATCTACTTTAAGCAAGTGTTAGGTGAATTTATTATTTTCAAATTTGGTTGTGATTTTATTGCCACTTTCCCCCAAAATGTGTTTAAAAAAGTCTTGTATTGCTTTCGATGTACCACCCTTCCTTTTCTCTAGTCTCTGTATCTTGCTTAACTCTCTTTATGTTATTTTCATGCTCTTCTTTAACCTCTGAAGAAGGAAGTGTGCGTTTTGCTGTGCCTTTTTTCTTTGTCTTTCAGCCTAGCAGTTTTTCAATCTCCGCTCTATTGCTGTTTTACTCTCTCTCTCTCTCTCTCTCTCTGTTGGTATGTTTGTCTGACTATATGTCTGTCTCTCCATCTCTGTATCTGTCTCTCCCACCCTTTTCCTTTCTCCCTAAACTACTCTATCATCCCTCTCCGCTTGTTGTTGTTGTTGTGGATTGTCAGAGAATCCTCCTCCCGTCTTTCCGGTCAGAAAATCCTGTACCGCCTCTGCACATCACACACACCAAAGATGGTTGATACTCTCTCATCCTTATCAAAGGCATCTATACACAAAGTTTGGCAAACTGTTGTCACAACATGGCGTATATGCTGTGATTGCCCAACAAAGCAGCATATTCTCCATAATTGTTGTGCCCATGCAACTCAAACCGGGTTGGCCAAACTCTCGTAATCAATGGCTCTGATCCTTATTCTTCGCATGCGCCCTCTATCTATTCTAAATTGAGCGAATCTTTTTCTACTTCGTGAGCCAAACGAGAGATGAGTCTGTGTTCATCACACATACACTGGAGTTTATTTCGGCCAAACGGAGGTGGTGCATATGTCATCAAGGAGATGATTTGAATTCAAAGAAACTGATGAGGATATTGCAGTCATCAGTAGTATTAGGTAAGTGATGTATTTTCTCATCAAATAATTTCATACTTTGCGACATGTTTATGTACTGACTATTCCCCGAATGTATCGAAGGAAAATCCAACCTTAATAGACAACTAGATGGCATCAGAAAAATTATAGAAGCAGACTGGTCAAAGTTTGGGTGACATCAGAATAAAAAAATATAATAATAGTAATTTGATAGTCAGAATGCGAATTGCATACACTATGTGCTGTTAGCCGGTAGGACAAGCCACAATGTTTGTCCAACCTATCAACAATTAATATATGCGATTCGCATTCTGACTATTGAAATACAATAATCCGTAACAGGTGAATGAACAAAACGGGCTTAAAAGGTACTTCACAAAGACGTATATATTAAATTCGGTTACATTAAAAAAAAAAACGGCCTATTGCCATACTTGGCACTCGGATGTGAACGAAATCAATATAAGGATCTTTGAATTCAGACAAGCGTTTGTTAATTTGCACTTTACGATAAGTGTGGTAGCCTGTCTTAATGCCCGAATATATTAGATATTGTGGTCAAGCGAGAATGTCTCCGGACTGTGAACTACAAAGTACGGGGTTTGAATCTCTGTCGCAGCACTTAGGCAAGACATTCTACATTTGGCACACTCCACCCAGATGAGGTACATGTAAATGGGCATCTTTCCGGAAGTAATTTCTTAAATAGTATGAGCTCTGTACGCAGTGGCAGCCTCGCTAAAGCAAGTGTCATAATAATGGAAAACCAAGGGTGACAATATGCCAGACATGAGCGCTATACGAGACTTCCCCATATTGTTATCATTACGTTGGGTAAACAAAGTGCAACTCAATGACTATCAAAGACTTTGTTATCAAGTTTTTACCAGTACTTACAGGTGCATGTTTGCTTAAGTGTGCAATTATCCGCTCAAAGGTGAATATGGGGGTGCATGAATGCGGAGTAACAGTTTAGGTTACTGTTTCATTTGCTAAATTAACTGAAAGAGTATAGTATGCACTCCAGGATTTGAAAATATCATTATATGATGAATTAGTAGGTATAACAACTTCATTCCTATATATCGCGTGTGTAATAGTTAAAACAAATTATTTATAGCTCTTTTGAGGCGTTATATATAGCAGCATAAATAGCATATCCGTTGGCTCTTAACTCCTACCCTGCTGGGGTCACGAAATGTGACAAACTAATTACACCTCTTGTAGAAATGTCGTGGTCTAGTGGATCTGTCGTCAGACTGTGGATCACATGGTTCGTGGTTCGAGTCCCGCCGGGGTAAAAATATCCTTTAGCAAGACGTTTATCTACACTTGCCACACTCGACCCAGGTGATGTTAATCGGTACCTTGCTGGAATTAGTTTCTTGAAATGCTAGAGCTCCATTAATTGCAGTCCTGCTAAAGACATGGTAACGTTATTGTGGAGAGCCATGAGTGCCAAGTCTGACAGACATGAGCGCTATACAAGAACCCACTATTTACTATTATTAGTAATTTCAATTTAACGTTGCTCCAACAAGATCATGAACATAAATTATGTCACTTCTTAGAACAATAATCTAGAAGTCTTAAAGCATATCTGCACTAGTTCAGCCAGGAGGGATTACCTCCCTGCATGGTCACTGGCACTATGAATTGGTTATCTCATCAAATCAGCTCTCAATTAACATAAGAAAAAGAGGACCACGGGGGACCAACGGTCACCGATTAGGCATTTTGTGCGAAAAAGAGGGCGTAATTAGCTATACGTAGTGCAGTGGGACTTTAATACATAATATTTATTAGCATAATATGTGTAAGGATTGTCATCATATGATATCTGAATTCATAGTCCATCAACGCTTCATCGTAAAAAGGATGAACAGGCATGGCCTGGTGTCGGTCTCGTCGGTGTGATAACTTGTTTCCTCTCTTTCTTCTTTATTTGGTCTGACTCCGAACATGAAACTCTTTCAACTAGAATTATGTTTAGCTTGACTTGACACCTGCATACCCATCAAACACGGAACTCAGTGTAAACATTTAACAAAGAAATCGCCAAGTTTTCTCCTAAAAACAACGATATTTGAGCTAGCGGCCTAGTATACAAACTGGATCTCTCGAGAGACCCATCAGAAAGCGACGTTTGTTAGTAAACAGTCAATGCTCTCTGCCCCAACGCAGTTTGCCATTAGCTTAGAGGTCTGAAGGGGTACAAGATGGTTAAGTGCTGTCACCAGGTACTCAACGGAAAAGCAATTTGCTATTGATTGCTCTCTTTGGCGGTTCCAGGGGTAACACAGGTGGGGACAGCGTGTCTCAGCTGAAACATACGTTATGAAAAGTGTCTCCTCAATTTGAGGAAACCCCCTTTTGGTCTGAGCGTCTCTTGATGACTTGATCCGCCCCTAATACACAAAAACCTTATGCATGGGTTTGGTGGAACACTGATATCGAAATCAGCAATTTGCGAATAGAGATTTTTTTTAAAGCCATTATATTTTGCATGGATCTACTAAACATGCTAACTGCTCGAGAATCATGGAAAGTTTAGGAATACAGATAAATGTTAAGAGTGAGTAAAGGGAAAATGTGCATCATTAAAGAGGAAAGACACACGCACATGTATGCGCACAATCACACACACATTGATTTCTTTGCTGTTCCGAACAATACAATAAATTGTCGTAGCCCTCTCCCTAAAAAGAATTAAAAATAAATACAAACGCTTTGCTGGGTTCTATTAAAATCGATCGAAAGTTGTAAAAGACCTTTTTGGATTGATGTCATATTATCCAACCGA